CACATATGTCAAAGTCAAACAATTTCCGGATGGATGAGAATGAAAAATGGAAAGCAATTCTATTGGTTCATACGCACTAGAATAAGTTACACATAACATTGTGTGTAGCGTGTGTGTATTTTATCTTAACCTTATGAATGATCTTATATGTACTTTCATTGGTTCGTAACAAATGAACGAATTAAATAAGTTCTCTCTTTAAAGGGTTGATGAGGGAACAAAATCGTATGAGAGTAACACCGGATTGATTTCAATAAAAGAAAGGCTATTATCGAAACTATATTTTAGTAAAATAAATTGGTAACTGTGTCTAAGCCAAAATCAATCCAATGTAAGTTAAGAGAATCGTTTATCTCATCAGTTCGATAATTGAAAAGAGAAAAATACTAACACATCGATAACACCTATGAATAACTGAACATATAAAACATGAAAACTATAGTCCATCCAAAAAGTTCGTGCGTCTGACCGTTTTTTGAATAACTCAAGAACGCAAACAGCTAGAGACCTGCAGTTTTCACCAATCGAAAGAGGAGGAGTTAGGGCGTCTTTTTCTCTAATAATGTATCAGACGAAATTCTTTTAAAACTGATCATCTTTCAAAAATATAGAAAAGAATGCATGAAACTGACATACAACACACATGAACTTTCGATTATGACCTTTGATTTAGATAGAGGGACTTCAGATCTATAGTTCAAAACATAAAATATTTCAAATGCTTACCAGGTAATAATCAATTATCTACGAAAAAAATTGTTTTAGTTTTTCAATATTTAATAGCAAAATTATAAATGGAATGATAACTTACTTCGTCGAACAGTTCAAGATCTTGTTTCAGTGCTACTTTCATTGCGTAAAAAAAGTGCAATAATTCGTTATCAAAAATTATAAAATATGACAAGAATACTTGCTAATAAACTTTCTGTATAAGATAATATGAAAAATATAGTTTCTAATTTAGAGTTTTTTTTAAAAATAATCTAGAGTACTCTTAAACGTCAAGTTGATTTTACAGCATCAAATCCAAATGATATTAATCAAACAATTGTTTTAATTATTGATCGATGAGAAGATGCAATTACTTCATTACTTAATCAAGTTTGATTGATATTTATATAATTCAAGAAATAAATAAATAAATAAATAAATAAATAAAATTCTTTGTTTTTATAGTGGAAATATCAAGCAATGGTTCATCAATTGATTGGTATTAAAAATAATCGTGTTAATCTTAATTAAGTACCAGGTATTACAAAAGAACTTGAAGAAGTTGTTATGAATGCTGAATATGATGAATTTTATGCAAATGTAAAAAACAAAGATTTTCAATTATTAAAATCATGTTTGTTTTTTTTTTGTATAGAATCTTTATAGTAATTTTGGTGAAATAGCAACAAATATTAAAGGATTAATGGAACATTTTCAAGAAAAACATAAAAATCAATCAAAAATTGAATCTATTGGAGATATGAAGGTTTGTATCTTAACTAGGATATATTCTTATTATAATAAAAGATTTCAAGATATTTGTCATAATTATAAGATCCTCTTAAGATTATGAAAATTCCTTATTTTTTGATATTTGTATTAATTATTCTTTGTATAATTTGAATAGCAAACGATAGGACAATGGAGAACCTCATGTTCTTGTCTAAAATAGAAATTCATCTCTGTTAACATTATATTCTATCATATACAGTATTGATAAAAAAAATGTAAGACCAACGTATTTTTTTTCTACAATGCCAAGTATTTAGCTCAAAATCTAAAAAGTGGTTTGAATAACCAATGCAATTCTCTATCAAATGTATTCCATGCCGAAATTTAATAGATAGACTAAGAGAGGAAGGTTTCTCAGAAACTAAACCAGTTCCAGAAAACTTAGCGTACCATTGTGAAGAACACAAAATCCTGAATAGAATGAAGAGTCGATGATTTTCCTATGGCGCTTTCTCTTAAACGTTATCAGCATCACAAAAAATGCGTTTTTTTTTAGTCATGCAATGATAAAGTTTGTCGTATGATGATTATAACTACTAAGAGAAAATCATAGGAAATATGACAAGTTCTCATTTTACTTAGGATTTTTTAATCTTCAAAATGACACTTTTAAAAACTAATTTTCATACAGTTTTCTGAAATCTGAAAGCTATTGTGTTTGATTTTTCAGTAAATCTTCTTCTATTATACTCCATCTATAAAATTTCGGTATGACATGCATTTGACAGAGAA